ACCCTATCCAGACTTGGGCCCTGGAGAAGTGAACTCAGAGATATGGGTTCAACTCCTCCCAAAAAGAACTCCACCCCCACGGTATAATTTCAGCCAAATCCAGTACACTTCTGTCTGCTCTCAGCAACACCATGAAGCCAGAATTGATCCGCTCATTTATGTTGCTCCTCGTCTTGTCCATGCCTCTCCGTACATTTTCTGCTTTCCTGTTCCTTCAAGATGCCAGGAAAAAACTGTGCGAAAGTGGATATCTTGGAGGTAAGGCACGATAGGAAGGACGACCCAGGAGGACAGTGCAGAGGAAAAGACCTAGGCAGCCTGGGTGATGTAGCTGCCAAGAAGAAGGAATCAAGTTCTCCTTTTATCTCAAACCGGATAGTTCTAGAGCATCTGATTCCAGGACTTACACTGAGTTCCATCTATTATGGATTGGAGAAAAAGAAAGATAAACCTAATTCTGGCTGGTTTTGCTCAGTGGTAGAGCATCAGCCAGGTTCAAGGACATGTATCTTGATTACAGGAAGCAACCAATGTGTCTCTCTCATGTCAATGTTTCTCTCTCTCCTCCCTCCTTTCAACTCTTTCTAGAAATCATTGGGGGAAATTTCCTCACGTGAGTATTAAGAAAGAAAGAAAGAAAAAAGTAGAAGTGGGGATTATGAAAATTGGACTGATGTGAGGAGTGTCCAGAAAATTCCTTTACTGGTGTGTGTGTGTGTGTGTGTGTGTGTGTGTGTGTGTGTGTGTGTGTGTGAAGTGAGTTTCTATTCTATTTAATACATATATACAGGACCATTGTGTTACACTCCATGGTGATGAGGCTGAGGCCATCATTTGCATGCTTAGGACACTCACATTCTATTTAAAATTAATTTGCTTGCCAAAACCGGTTTGGCTCAATGGATAGAGCGTCGGCTTGGGGACTGAAGGGTCCCGGGTTCGATTCCGGTCAAGGGCATGTACCTTGATTGCGGGCATATTCCCAGTAGGGGGTGTGCAAGAGGCACCTGATCGATGACTCTCTCTCATCGATGTTTCTAACTCTCTATCTCTCTCCCTTCCTTTCTGTACAAAATCAATAAAAATATATTTTTTAAAAAATAAAAAATAAAATTAAATTAATTTGCTTGATTCAAATTACAATGGGTAAATGGGACAAATTCCTGGTTATACATAAGGGCTGTACACTTCAAGAAGACTGACATTAACTCTTCCTTTGCCTCCAATATGGTCATCATTGTTCCTGCTCTAACCACCTATCTTCATGGTCTCAGTAAAACCAGGTAAGTCTGAATGGGTAGCCAAAAAGGGGGGCTGAATCAAGGGGACAGACATTGGTGGACTACAGGAAGATCTTTTGCCAAACAAGACATTTTAAGCCTCCAGGGGTAGGTGTAGAAAGCCCCTCTTAGCTGTGTGCTTATAGAGATTCTGCGGAGGTGAAATTAAGGGCTCTGACCTGTGTCCTTGGAGAACAGATGAGATGTTCACTTCCAGTGAGTGACATGGGAAAGCATTTGGAGAGTCAGGAAATGGGATATATTTAATATGAAGAAGGGATGCTATAATGGATAGAGGAAGCCGTGGGTCTTCTTTCTTGCCTTCATATCTAAGGTAATAGAGCTACCTATCATCCTCCTCTAAGTGTTTATCTGAAGCATTGATCCAGGTGATAGTCTAGAATCACTGCTTCGTATCACCTACACAGTGAAACTTATGCTCAGGGAACTCTCCCAGTGGTAAAGAATCGGGTGGGTTTACATGGGTTGATGAGCATTAGTCGTCGGAATCCATGAGGAGAAGAATGCCTACTTGGCAGTGGGGAAGAAAACCTGACAGTGGAATTCTCGTGCACAGAAGCCTGCAACTACCCCGCAAAGTCCGGCACCTGTAAGCTAATTCTGACCAGATTCTACTACAACTCGTTGACATTTTTGTGTGAGCCCTTTGTCTTCTCTGGATGTGGAGGCAACAGAAACAATTTTAAAACCAAACATCAGTGTCAAGTATTTTGTATTCCTAAAGTGTAAGTCTCTCAACCCCTTACCCCATCTCCAGTGACACTAAATATTAGGAACCAGGGGTGTGTGTGTGTGTGTGTGTGTGTGTGTGTGTGTGTGTGTGTGTTTCAGGAAAAAGCAAGTGCAAGGCCAGGGAAATTGAACAAGGAGACAAATTATACCTGAGTTGGGGACAGTCAGTCATAGGCACAAATTTCAATGTTTTGGGTCATTTAGTCCAACAAAACTCTTTTGAAATTTTGGAGATTGAAGCCCAGAAAGGCTAATGATTTTCCAAGTTCACTCAGAAGGAGGACATGGATCTGGACCCACCCAGCACTTGACTACCACCATTGTGGCCTCAGGTGTTGGGTCCTGTCCAACACTTTATTGTTGCACAGTTGAAAGAGAGGCAGGGAGAGTGTCAGGAGAGCAGGGGAAGACAAGTATTTTGGTTCAGTATAGTATAGTGAAGGGTGAAACCACAGCCTTATGCTCAAGAGCAACGACATCACTTCATTCATTTGTATGTTGTCCAAGGTTGGCACTATATTTGCTCATTAATATCTTCTGTGTAGACATATAAATCAGAAGGGATACTAGTATTAAAAACAGCTATAAAGCTCTGCTAAGATGTATAGGACTCACTGAGTCTTCCAATGACCATATTAGTCACTAAATGTATTTATTTATTTACAGGGACTGGAATCAGTGAAAAGAAAGGTCTAATTGTGACAGAAGGAAGACCAAATGCTTAATGTAACAGAAGGAAAAAGGAATATTCTTTATGAAAAATTATGACAAAATTAATCTGAGTAAATAAATTAGACTATTTTTGGAAGGGGTTTATTTTTTTCTTTTTAATTTAAAATTCTTGTTAATTTCTTTGCCCAGATTTGTCTTTCCTGCTGATTACCTATATAAAATTTTCACTGAAAATTTTCTGTGTTGGCCCTGATCTAAATTCATTCATCTCTTCCATCCTAGATTCTTCTAACGTAAATTACAAAGGACCTCTCTATAGACACCAACCTAACCATTTAATGAGTCAGTCTGTAAAAAGGCAGCCATTGTTGATATCTTCTTGGCATGATCTGCCAAAATTTAATTTGCTTCTGTATTTTGTCACCTACTTCATCAGATTTCCTTGTAAGTGGCACTAAAATAATCATCATTGAATTATTTCATTTTCCCCAAATCAATGATCATTCAATCTCCAACAATGCTCCTACTCTAGAGAAATGTCTCCAGTGATCCAGGTGCCAATAATATAGAAATTGTGACTTCACATCTGGGAACTACAAATCTTGAGCCTAGCTGAACTTCAAGTCAGAGTTTGGAGTGTCATTCTCCTTTTCCCTGACTGCCCTATTCTTATTCCTCATCAAGGGCCCAGCCTCACAAATAAGTCCAGTGATGTGAGCAGCCTAGACCAGTATTCTAAGGTCCATATACAATAGGAGGAATTGCAGCCCAAGATAAGACCACATATGAGCATTCTAGCTCAATCCCAACCATGGCAACCCTTGCTTCTGTACTATGGGCATAGACTTGGAAAAATCTTGGGAATTGGTAGAAAGCATAGGTTAGAGATGTCACCCTAGCCCCTCGCCCAGAAATTACTCCTGTACAAATAAATAAATATGGACAAATGAAACAAGAAGGTCACATCTGGGTAATGAGTCAAAGTCTAGTATCCCACACCATTCTTAGTCCATATAAAATAGTTCTAGCCCTGACATCATATATCTTACCTGGTGCTCATTGATGGATTCTGAAGATTTTCCTCCCTCTGACTATTGTGAAACACATCTATATATATTTAAAAAGTCAAGTGACTAGCCGAAACCGGTTTGACTCAGCGGTAGAGCATCAGTCTGCGGACTGAAGGGTCCCATGTTCGATTCCAGTCAGGGGCATGTACACTGGTTGTGGGCACATCCCCGGTGGGGGTGGGGGGGAGTGGTGCAGGAGGCAGCTGGTCGATGTTCCTCTCTCATCGACGTTTCTAGCTCTCTATCTCTCTCCCTTCCTCTCTGTAAAAAATCAATAAAATATATTAAAAAAGAAAATCTTGTTTAAAAAAAAAAAAAGAAGTCAGTGACTAGAGCACCATAATGACTGGAATGACCAGCCGGTCATGACCGGCCTGTCTCTATGATGCCCATTGTGGCCAGCAAACCAGCCCGATGGGGGGCGGGGCCAGCCAGCCAACCCCACTGCAGTCCCCACCCAGGCCAGCCCCACCCCTGATCTCTCCTCTCTACCCCAATAGGGGCCGGGGCCCCCCCAGCCAACCTCTTGTAGCCCCTCCTCCCAGCCAGCTCCACCTCAGATGGGCCACCATCAGCCCATCAGCCCACAACCCCTCCCCCCAGACAGCTCTACCCCCAACTCCTATCAGGGCAGGGCCCGCCGGCCAACCACCCATGGCCCCTCCCCCAGGCCACTGGCCCCCAATTGGTTCCCCACACACCCTATTCCGGGGCAGGGCTGGCTGACTCACAACCCACAGCTCCTTCCCATGACTGGCCCCACCCCCAATCAGCCCTGCGTCCCAATCAGGAGCCAGGCCACTGGCCAATCACTTGTGGCCCTCCCCCAAGTCTGTCCAGCCTGATCAGCCCTCAATTGGGGTGGACCGGCCAGCCAACCTCCTGGCGTCTATTCCTCCTTGATAGGCCTGGCTTCGATAGGCTGATTGTGGCTGGGCCAGCTGGACCCCACCTGTGTGTGAATTCATGCACTGGGCCTCTAGTTGTTATATAAAGAGGTCTCGAGTGTAACTTCCCTGAAACATGTTTCAGAACTATATTCTAGTATTCCAAAGAATTACTATAAGTTACATACTCTCTGAAGACAAAGAACTGGAGACAATAACTACCCAAAAATCCAATTAGTCTCAGGTTTTTAGGTTTCTTCTGGGAGTTACCCAAGTTTTCTTCTCACTCAGTCCTGAATTTGCCTCTTAAAAAAAAGCTACATGTGAAGCCCCGCCAGATGGAGCCCTTCCCGCTGCGCGTGTTCGTGAACCCCCGCCTGCGGGTGCCGTACAGCCGCCTGGTCACTTTCCCCGAGGGCTGCGAGAGCGTCGCCGGCTTCCTGGCCCACGTGCCCCGCTTCCAGGCTGTGCAGATCTCAGGGCTGGACCCCAGAAGAGAGCAGGTGGTGTGGCAGGCCAGTGGGTGGGCAGCACGCATCATCCAGCACGAGATGGACCACTTGCAGGGCTGCCTGATCATTGACAAAATGGATAGCAAGACATTTACAAACATCCGCTGGATGGAGGTGAATGACTAAACCTTTCCTGAGGATTCTGAAAACCAGGACACAAACACTTCAGCTATGAGCCAGGCTGCCTTACTTGGATTGACTTGTCTCCGACAGAAAACAATGGACTTCTGAAACATGCCAGACTGAGTTGGAGGAATCTGAGAAAAATGATTGTGCCCTAGCTGGTTTGGTTCAATGGAGAGAGCATCAGCTTGGGGGTTGAAGGATCCTAGGTTCAATTCCGGCCAAGGGCACAAGCCTAGGTTGTGGGCTCAATCTCTAATAGGGGGCATGCAGGAGGCAGCTGATCAATGATTCTCATCATTTATGTTCCTATCTTTTTCTCCCTCTCCCTTCCTCTCTAAAATCAATAAAATATTTTTTTTAAAGGTACATGTGTGCTGTCTGTGGTGCTGAAGGAAGACATATACAGATGCACACAAACATCAATGAAAAGGTACAGAAACAGGTTGACATTTGTAGGCCCTCCCATAGAAGCACATACCCTCCTACAAAGAACTTCTACATAAGTCACACAGGACATAAACCTATATGAAACCCAAACAGGTTCCACATTATATTCGAGTGAGACATTTTGAGGGGATAGTCCTGATAAAAGGAGGACAAAAATGAAAAGATAAAACAAGGTCTTAGGATACACTCCAAAGATAGAATGAAAATATTAGAGTCCTCATTAGGTCTCTTCCCCAGGTCATGTCTGATTATTATAGAAACTGAAAGGGGATTTTTTATTATTTTTTAAATATATTTTTATTGATTTCAGAGAAAAAGGGAGAGGGAAAAGAGACGTAGAAACATCAATGATGAAAGAAAATCACTGATCAGCTGCCTCCTGCATGTCCCCACTGGGGACAGAGCCCACAAGCTGGGCTTGTGCCCTAGACTGGAATCAAACTGGGGACCATTCAGTCCATAGACTGGGGCTCTATCCACTGAGCCAAACCAGCCAAGGTGAAAGGGAGATTTTTAATTATATATGACAGAGAAATTAGAAGTAGTTTATTTCTGTTTCCAAGGGTTCCAAAGAGAAAGGATTTAGTGGAGCAGATGTGGGAATGTGGCACAAGTTTGGCTGTCATTCAAGAGATACTGAATGCATTTGGCCTTAACATCTGGTTGCAGAGAAGAGGTAGAAAAGGGTAAGTCCCATGTTCATCACAGCTCTGATCTCTTCCCTACTCAACCCTCCCCTTCTATCTCCTTTACCGAAATAAATAGATCAGGAGAACACTGCTCATCTTTCCTAAGTCTGGCCCTCATCAGATCTGAGAGATTACTCTCTCCTTGTCATTTCCATAGTCAGCAGCCTGACACCAGTCCCATCATGCCAGGCCTTCTAGTCACATTCATTCATGACCTGACTACAGCCTAACTTCTATTCTCTCTGTTGTTATAGAGTGATTATCCTCAAATGACCTAAAAGTTCATCTAATTCAGCTTGGCTTACTGTGCATCCTAGATCTAAAGATCTGAAATGTGAGGTGACTTGACATATGTCTCACAGTATCTCATAGTTTCATTTATGTCAAGCATCGGCCCACAACGAATATTTTTTCAACCCAATTAAAATAACGGTATGTAAGAGATGTTTTAATAAAAATTTTGTAACTTGCCAAAACTAGTAGAGCGTCGGTCTGCGGACTGAAAGGTCCCAGGTTCGATTCTGGTCAAGGGCATGTACCTTGGTTGCGGGCACATCCCAGTAGGGGGTGTGCCAGAGGCAGCTGATCGATGATTCTCTCTCATCGATGTTTCTAACTCTCTATCCCTCTCTCTTCCTCTCTGTAAAAAATCAATAAAATATATATTTTTTTAAATTTTGTAACTTAATTTTTACAATATTCTATTATATGTAATTTTAATAATGAACTACAACTTTCACTAATTACTATAATCATGTTGCATTCATTTCCCTTATATGCCTTACACACCGGCACACCATTTCTCTCCACTGATTCTAGCAGCAAATATTTTAGCAGCCAATTGCCATGTCATTAGTCTTGTACTGACTTGTTTGGTGTGCGCAACAGGAAATATTTGGCTTTCAGAGAACAAGAAAAATTAGTTTATTTGCATTATGTTTATTAAGTTGTGCAGTTATTCAGTGTCTGGTAAGTGAATGTTCAAGAAAGAATAATAATTTTTATTAAAATGTTCTATTATTTTATGTTAACAATAATTCACTCATTTCAGCCCTTTGTATTTAGCATGTCTCTATTGAAATAAACCTACATCTCTATGAAAATTGAAGCTTTTATTTTTTTGCAGCCCACATAAACTTAAACCTTGTTTATTTGGCTGGTGTCAGCCTTTGAATTTGACATGCTTGATTTATGTCTTAGTACCTTGACATTCAGTTGGGAACTTTTTTCCATATGTGATGCAATCTTTTCTACTTCTTCATTCATTCAACACATTCATTGAGCACCTACTATTGACCCGATACCAGGGGATAAGGCATGGAATAAGGTTATGAGAAAAGAGGGCCATACCTGTCCTCATGGAATTGGTAATCTGGAGAAGAGGCAGCAACCAAATAACCACTCAAGCATCCAATGACCAGCTGTGATACATGCTCCACAAGGAAGAGATGTCATTAGCAGGTAGGCGAGGGGAGCTTAGTCTATCCATAGATTCAGAAATACTTTCCAGCCGAAACTGGTTTGGCTCAGTGGTAGAGCGTCGGCCTGCGGACTGAAGGGTCCTGGGTTCGATTCTGGTCAAGGGCATGTACGCTGGTTGCGGGCACATCCCCGGTGGGTGGTGTGCAGGAGGCAGCTGGTCGATGTTTCTCTCTCATCGACGTTTCTGGCTCTCTCTCCCTCTTTCTTCCTCTCTGCAAAAAATCAATAAAATATATTTTTTTTTTAAAAGAAAGAAATACTTTCCAGAGGAAGTAATATTTGAGCTGACATCTGAAGCATAATTAGTCACAGGGGGACAGGAATTTCCCTCAGAGGAAACAATATGTGCAAACCTTGAGTTACAATAGAGCATAACATAGTCAAAGAATTGAGTGCTACCCATAGAGCTGTGGGCACAGTGAGGATAGAAAGGTTGGCAGGGTCCCAGTCATGTCAGGGAAAGACATTTCAATGTATTACACTGTTATGGATAAGAATGGAGGGTTTCAAAAAGGAGATAACTGTTTTTAAGAGACCATTCAGGAATTCTGGTTCTGATAATGGCAGAATAGTTTCTATTGAACTAAGTATTCTATAGATAGCAATGATTATATCTTCACAAAATGTAAAAAAACAAAAAAAAACGTTTTAAAGCAGTGGAGAGTGAACAAAATAAAGCAGAAACTGTACTAGCTGTAATCCTTGAAAGAAAACAACCACATTGGGAGAGATCCATTTTATATGGTTTTTCACTGAGGACAACCCCAAATCCAACCTGCATGTGGCAGGTAAAGTTCAAGCAGAAAACCACAGTCCGGTGTCCTGAGCAATCAGGAGACGGTACCGTATTCAGGATGGACTATCAAAGCAACTGCATACTGAGCAGGAAATCCAGAGAGGAGAGAACCACAAAGGGAAATCTCCAAAATATTTGTATAAACGTCTTTCAAATTCTTTTGTTGTTGTTTTAATTTTCACCTGAGGATATTGTTCCATTGATTGTTAGAGTGGAAGGGAGAAGGAGAGACACAGAAAGAGAAACATCGATGTGAGAAAGACATGCCAATTGGTTGCTTCCAACAGGTGCCCCAAGCAGGACTCGGGATCGAGCCTGTAACCGAAGTACACGCCCTTGACCAGAATTGAACTAGGAGCCTCCAGTCCATGGGCTAATGCTCTATCTATTGAGCCAAACCAGCTTGGGCAACTTCTTTCAAATTCTTAGATTGACTCCTCAGTCTCTTCTGTGCAGGCGAGATTTTAAAGGTTCAAGGTGAGCAATACCAGGAAGGCTGGAAAACCAGAGATTTCAACTGCTGCCCATCAAAGAGGATGTCTGAACCCTGACACATGAATGGGACTTGATAAATACCTCAGCTTTATTTACATTGAAAGCCTGGAAGAACCATGACTCAGGAGTAAAGACAATGTTTCAGGACTAAAGCATCCATCCTAGAACTAGGGGATTATTCAAACAGATCTGCCCTAAAAAGCATAAAGCCAAGTCTTCCCATACTCAAGGTGATCCAGCAATAATTTCACTGCCTGCTAAAAGAAAATACTACACACTCAGAGAAGGATGAAAATCCAGTCTCTACAATGTATCATCCGCAATGTGTATGGATTTACCTATTCTAGGTGGTCTTTTGTGTCTGGTTCATTTCACTTAGCACAGTGTTTTCAAGGTTCATCTATGTTGTAGCATGTATCAGTAATTCATTCCCTTTATGACTGAGTAATATTCCACTGGATGGATATGCTACATTTTGTTTATCTATTTATCCGTTGGTAGACATTTGGGTTGCTTCCAGTTTTTAGCTATTGCAAATAGTGATTCTCCGAGTATTCGTGTGCAAGTTTTCATTTTCAATTTCTTGAGGTACATACCTGAGAGTGGAATTGCTGAGTCTTATGGTAATTCCAGGTTTAATTTTTTGAGGAAGCACCAAACTTTCTTTTTTTAACGTGGTTACTAAAAAATTTGAAATGAGCCGAAACCGGTTTGGCTCAGAGGTAGAGCATCAGTCTGCAGACTAGAAAGTCCCGGGTTTGATTCCGGTCAAGGGCATGTACCTTGGTTGAGGGCACATCCCCGGTAGGGGTGTGCAGGAGGCAGCTGGTCAATGTTACTCTCTCATCGACGTTTCTAGCTCTCTACCTCTTTCCCTTCCTCTCTGTAAAAAATCAATAAAAAATATATTTTAAAAAATTGAAATGACTCATGTGGCTTGCATTTCTATTAAAGAGTGTTGCTCTGCCTGGCCAGCATGGCTCAGTAGTTGAGTGTCAAGGTATGAACCAAAAGGTCACAGTTTAATTCCCAGTCAGGGCATATGCCCCAGTTGGGGGTTCGATCCCCAGTGTGGGGTGTGCAGGAGGCAA